GTGCTGCCTAGCTCTTCTTGTCCTCATTTCTTTACTATGATCTCCTCTCCCCAAAAGAAAATAAAAATAATTTAGCCATACCTCTCTTTAACAGAGAAGGGGAAAAAAATAAACAGTTCTGAACCTTTTTTCTCTTTAAGAAATAGATATTCTTTTCCAGTCAGTCTGTAACAGTAATGCATAGGTTCAATGTTCATGTTGTATAGTAAAGAAAGCTATAACGATAGTTTTCCTTTAGCAGTGATGTGAAATCACCATATACATGTATGGAGAGAAAAGCACTGTAGCTGTGGGTGAAGAATTCTATTTAGAGCAATGGAAAACTTGTGTTTATTCCACTGAGTCTTTCAAAAAGCATCTTGGTGCCTGTGTACTTGTATATTTACTTAATTTTTTTTTTTTTACTACAATAAACTAGAACCCCCTAAAACTAATGTTAAAAAAGTGAGGACTGCCTTAAAATACAAAACTAATGAGTAAAAGGTGAGCAGGAGGGAAATCCTGGTCATGAAGCTGAAGTGACTCTGTGAAAGAGTAAAAAATAATCAGTCTGATGTATGAATGAAAGAAAGATTCAGATATAAAACCATGCAAAACTTCAGTTTAATTTTATTGTTGATTATCACAGCAGCTCTTTTGAAGTACACGCTAACTGAAATTTGGAAAGTGTCTTTCAATAAGGTCAACATGCATGGTAAAATACACAGATTGTTTGTAGTTGAACACAGGTATGTTTGGGTTGCTTTAAAGCTTCAATCAGTGGGGAAAGAAAGGTGATGGTTGGATCATGCTTCCATAGGATGCACCTCATTTTTTAGTACTTAATATTTAATGTTCATCACTTAATGTGTTTTCAGGTGTGTTTCTGAATTATTATTTTACAAAAAGAAACACATTTTTCTCCATCTCCAGATGGGTTTCCACCTTGTTAAATGATTGGTACTTTTCTCTTTTACTCCTTAGAGAAGAGAATTTTTAGTTAGATTCTGCCATCCAGATAAGCTGTTCCTCCCTTGATTCAAGGGAACAAGAGGAGATAGCATTGGGGTATATTTGATCTCTTTGAAATATTTCATCCTGTCTTTTAAAAAAACCTCAGAGCTGTAACTTTCTCCTGAAAGGGTGCTGTGACATTGAGATATTTGTTGGCTGGACTTGAAAGCATGCTTTAGATAGCGTTTAGAAAAATCTAGTGCCCCATAAGTGCAATACACAATAAAAGGAAGTAATGCTCAAGACCTATTGTGTGTGGATTGCTGCAAACTGCTTTTTCTCTTAATGCTTTCAGCTTGCTGACCTGGGGAAAAGGTTGTTTCTACATTTTATCTCAGTTACCTGCCTGAAATTCTTAATTTTGGGGCCTTGTTTGTTTTATTTTGACCTGACTTTACAGTGTTTAGAACTTCCTAACGTGTGCAATGAACAGCTGCGCTGCTGAGTTCCTGTAGATGTTGAGAGCCAGTATGACTATTATAACTGCCATTACAATGATCACTCATGGAAGCCTTGACTTAGGAGAGAAAAATCATATTAAGTCATGGAAGTCTTCAGATGTCCTGACCTAGACCTACAGCAACACAGTATGGTATTTTCTGGCACGCTGTGTACTGAGCTATTGGATGGCTTTCTTCTGTGTCTCCTAAACACATTAGATAAACTTTGGAGCCATCCAGTACATTCTAAGTCCCTTTCCATATCTACAGCAATCTGGTTAACGTTACCTCTTTTAAAGCTCTTTGTTAGTACATATCATCAGATAAAAGGCTATGTACTATGGATTTCTGCTCTGTGAAAGTCCATTAAACAAACACAGTATTACCGGATGATCAACTTCTGAGCTTAGTTTTACTGAGGGCTATAGTGGGCTTTTAACAACTACAGATATGGCTTTTTTGACTTCCTAATTTGGGGAGGACTTTTCTTTGTCAGAGCACTTGTTTTCCCAATTCCTTCATGTATGAGCTTGCTCTAAAGGAAAACAATCTCTAAATATTTTCTTCACTGAGTTAAAAATATCTATTAATCTGAAAATCATTTTAGAAGCTATATTCTATTGTTAAAATAGTGGCCATGTCTCTTACTTTGGTATCAAAATATCATGTATATAAAATTCATAATTGAATTTATCTTCAAGATAAATTTCAGAAGGAAAAATATTACAGACCTGTGTCAGTGTGCAGAGGTGTATCATAGCTGTGTGAGTGTCTGGAGGGGGGAGTTGAACTATAGCAGCAGTCATTTCCATGGGTATGTAATGAAAGGCTTGTCTGCAGGACTTGATCTATCACTTTGTATAGGTTTCAGACGGACTTGATAGGAAAAAAAAAAGGTAAAAAAAAAAGATAGAAAAGTGTTTTCTAGACCTAGATCTTTACTGCATCTCTTCCTTCAAATCACTACATCACAGGTGTGTATGTGGGCCTTTTTATGGCAGTTGCTAAACAATGCTGTCCAGTTTGCAAAGTCAGAGATGTAATCACTCTGCACAGCACTTTCAGAGATGGAGATTGAAAAGGAAATGACAAAATTAACACTGCTGGTCAAGAGTTGCAATGAGGTATTTTCCAGAGGAAAGAACAGTAACCTTAAAGTCAGGATTTGTTGGCCTTCCACACTGTGCCGGCGCACAGCATTTTCTTTTTGTCCCTTCCTTATGTCTCACCAAAAAAAACCTTGGCTCCAGGAACTTCCAGTTTGGGAAGAATTAGAAATATAAAGAGTTAATTACTTTTCAAGAGTGAAGATTTCTAGCTCTTTTCCTTGCTAAGATAGAATGCAAACCATAAACTAATGGTAAATGTCAACTAACCGCTAGACTTGAAAGAACCAGCAGCTGGCTTCTGCTTATGAAGCAGAGAAACCGTGTGGGAGGAAATGTAAAGAATCTCCTCAAATACCCACTCTGACAGAGGGGCAGCCTGGGAGACGGTACTGATTATGGGTTTTAACCTTTAGAATTATTTTGCTGTTATTGTATTCTTAGACTTGTATGAAAATGCAAACTGGCAATTGAATTGTTTCAGGTAAAGGTATTGGATAAAGGCCCCAGGCAATCTGAAATAAATTTCTGATTAAAAAATGGGGTGCTTATTTTGCCTGTGTCAGCTTTGTCTGTTAATGATTTATGGTATGGATCTCAAAGATTTGAGATGTATTTAATGAATAATTGTTATCAAAGACCTGAAATCAGATGCAGTGTTTCAATATGGCAACATTATTAACAAAGTTGTTAGAGTAATACTGAAATGGCAGCACCTAAGAAAAATGTATCTACCACAAATCTGAAATTATGAGTTGTTCTGGGTGCAAATAAACATAGGGGAAATAGTTTGGGTGATGTTCATTAATGATGTATAAACTGAGATCAAAAATAATCTACAAGCTTCTGCTAATATAAATCGAGACAAATTGTAGGACTGCAACACTGACGTAAAAGCTGTTTAAATAAGGTTACTAATGCTGGTTCTCCTTCTAATAGGAAGTCTATACCTGCTGTTGAGGAAACAAAAGGTGGTTTTGGAGTAAGTTTTTTTTTGGTTGTTTTTTTTTTTAAGGTAACTTTTTTCAATATTTCATAGATCCTTCATCACTTTTTTGATATGGAAAACAATATGCAGCCTCATTAGTTCATGGCACAATGATTTTTTTTAACTTATTTTTAGAAGAATCAGGGTAAACAGACTAGAAACTCAAGAGAAGCTTCTTACTGAAGATAGCAAATTACAGGACACTCAATCACTGTATCTGAAAAATGTAGTGGCAGTCTGTCTGGTTTCTAAATGTTCTGTATCTAGATGTTGTTTTTACAAGACAGAAGAAACTTCTTTCAAGGATTGGTCAATATTGTTTGGTATGGGCAGATTGTTTTTACATGTTTGATGAGCAACACTCATGGGAAAAAAAAAAAGTAGAACTTCAACTCTGTTATTTCACCTGCTCTTCTTTTAGAAGTGTCCTTTTTTTCCTGACAACTCCCACTATGGAGCGCTTGTCTGCAGTCCTAGGAATTGCTATTAACTCCCCAAGATGGGGTGGGAAATTAAAACTGGTGAGCAAAGGCTTGGAAGTATACCAGCTGGAGGATATTTGTGACAGATAACAGGAAGAGAGAGAGAGAAAAAGAAATGGCCATCAATTCTGGCTTCTTAAAAGTGGGGTGTAGATGCCTTGCTGTTACGGTTTTGCAACGTCTTGTTGCCAGACTGCTGGATTAGTCAGCCACATCTTTAATTTGCCTGGTCTATAACAGCTGCTTCTACTGCTACCACAGAAATTACAGTTTCCAAGCCTTCATTTTGTCCCTCTTACCTATAATCCTCAAGTTCCAGTCTGTCTGACCACTTGACTAGGCTTTTTAATTAGCAGATCTTTGGGGGTGGGTGGGGCTTAAATGTATTTTGCATATACAGAGACACTAAACAGCCTTGGAAACTCTTGATGAGATGAAAAACATCCTGCTGGGAATATAAAATGGCACATAGTGCCTAGAATAATGTTTGCTGTAATTGAGATTTTCTTGTGCTATATTAGAAGGCATCATTTACCTGTACTCCTGTTCTTGTCAAAAGAAAACAAAATTTTGTTGTTTAAAACCTCATCTATTTCATCCAGTCTCTACACTGTTCTGTTGAGTCCTCTGAAGAAGGCTTATGGGTTTGGCACAAAATACACAAAGCCCAAGATGAAAACTAGCATTCAAATATTCTTGTTCAATCAGTGATTTGTACCAAGTATGTACTTACTTGATTTGCACAAATGAGGCAGGTGGAGTTTCATAATGATCTTTTCCTTGTACCTGAGACCACACTGCTGCCTGACCATTTGGGTGAGGTGGCACATTGTTAACGCGGTGCTAGTAAACAACATAATATGGGAAGGTTCATTCTTCTGTAGAAGATAATAGTTCTCACTGATGCAAGCATCTTAATGTAATTAAGAAAACAGCTTGTGTTAATCATTTACTAATTGTATGGCACAAGCAAGTAATCTCAGGGATGTACCTTGGAGACCTGATAACATGTTTCATCAACCTCTGGGGAGCTGACACAGACGATGTCGGTCAAATTGCCCTCAGTTCACTTCCTTTGCTGGTCTGCAGCTCTGCAGTGATTTGTCTAGAAGACAAAGAAATAAATGATTTTGTGTGATAGTTTAGGGTAAGCTCAATATATCAACCAATAATTGGTCTTGACATTTCCCAAGGAAAAATTGCTAGTGTCGCTATAAAGGTCTGAGTGGTTTAGTACTATTTGTACAAATTCTTCTCTTCATGGGATTTGTTTTTTTTCTTTTGGTAAAATATGTTTCAAGTTAGCGCTGAGTGAAATTAGATTATTAGCATATTAAATTGAGACACAATGCTGTGAATAAGCCTTAAATTTTTCAATAATTTAAACATTATAAATACATAGGCCTGTAATATTTGTCTCATGCTGTTCTGGTTTGCTGCTCTTATGAGATTATTCAGGCATATGAAACAAACAAAAAATTATCAGATAACACTATTTTTCAGTGTTGCAGATTAGTGTTGATAAAATCTTTTCCTGAAAGCTCAAATATTAAACCTGTGTGCATTGGTCTTCTTCCACAGTATAGTTTTTAATTCATTTATGTCTTAAAGAAAAACAATCTCACTTGAATACTCAAATACAGGTCTCAGTAATATTCTTCTCTTTATTGGTACCATGCACCAATTCTGATTAAAATCTGCAAAATTCAGCTTTGAAAACTGTTCCAGCCTTAATCTGCAATGTTCAAAAGTACCCATGGAACTACATAAATGACTACCCCCTCTCCCTGAAGTGCAGTGGGTTACGTGGGATTCCTAAAGCTCTAAATTCTTGGCATTCAGGGTTGAAAATGACAGGGCTCAAGTAAGAAATATTTCAGTTGCTTGTTGAAGTGACTCTATTAGATTGGGCTCATCTAAAGTCTAGTATCAAGTAAATATGGTATATATTAAATCTAAAAAGAATTTCAATTTTATGCTTTTCAGTGGTCTAATGATGACTTTTTTTAAGAGTTTGTTTTCTGAAAAAATACTGTAATTGCACAGCATCTGCTTAAAAAGACTGCTCTGTAGTACCAAACTTCAGTAGTTCCACGGAAGACATTTTGAGAATTTCGGATCCATCTTGTTTAGCTACACCTTCTCCATTATGATTAATGGGGGGAAGTGCAAGTTGGAATTTTTCTAATAGCTTTGAAAAATCTCATATTTATTTGCCTATTTTATAGGATGTGAAAAAAACCCAAACAAACCCAACAACCTAACCCTGCCACCCCTCAGGGAATTAAAGTACAGTGCTTTAATTACATAATGCCCATTAATGCTAATAAATTTTATGCTAAAGACCTACGCTGTACTAGTGCCAACTAAAACATAAGTCTCCTTCCTTTTCAAGCTCTGTGCCACATATTGCCTGGACATGCGGTCATTAAAATGAGCTAGGTTGTAACAACAGAAATTAGACAAAGATGCGGGATCTCATTTTCAATACCTTTTATAGGTTAAAATAATTTTAGGATTTGATCTTCAAGTAGTCTTTAAAACCATTTAAATAGGAAGTGTTAACTGAGTGAAGGAACAGGCCGCTAGGTATGTGAAATCAAGCAATGATGTTTCTCAGCTGCTGCAGTGTTTCTATAGTCTGGTATGACTTCAGTTTTCTCAGAAGGTTCTGTTGTAATGGCAGTCTGAAGAATGAGTTTATCAGCTGCATAAAAGATAGCATGCTTGTAACTTTATTCATAAATCCTGATTTTTCTCTTCTGTATCTCTCACCTAGTCAATAACTGCAGCCCTTTTATTACTTTTTCCCCTCCTTTTTTAAAAATATAGCTCTGCGATGAGTAATCCTTCTAGAGTTTGACCCTAAAATTAAGTCTCCTTCGCTTACAATATTTCTGGAAATGGGTCAATCAAACCACTTGATCTCTGTGTTACACTGCAGTGGTTCTGCTTTTCATGAGAGTAAGGGAGGATGCTGGGATCCATTTCATAAGAATTTAGAGGGTGTGGGGGGGGAGTATCAGAGGATCAAACTGGTAGATGCAGACTTTATCCACATCTCTGTGAGCCAAAATTTAGGATCCTGTTGAAGTAATGAAATGAAAACCTGATGGTGGCTTGGTCTGGTTGAAAATGGAGACCAAATGCATATAGCTGTGCATGAAGAGGTGGCATTTTGTATTTTGTGACAACAGGAACATGAGATGAGGAAGGGGCTTGAGTGGTAGTTGGATGGTAAAATATGTTTAAAAAGAAACCAAACCAAACCAACCAACCAAACAACAAACAAACCCAAGAGCATTTGGATACAGTCTGGCTATGGAGACATGGAAAATATGCATAGACTTAACAAGTGGGAGGATAGTGGGATCAACCAAAGGATGTGAAGAAATCTAATGGGGGGAAAAAGTACAAAAAAGATTAACCTCAGATGTCATAAGGAGATTGTATTTCAGCAGTCTGCCTTTTTCATATGTTGTTCTTGATTATCTCAATCCCTGTATTATGGCCAGTGCTGACCTCCTGAAATGGTTTTATTAGTTAGTCAAAGGATCCCCAGCACTTTCTTAAGCCTATCAGAGCAGTCTTCAGGAGTGTGAGGCAGCATGTGGGGTCAGGGTGATCACCACTCACATGCTCACAGCCTGCATCTGGCTGGGTAAAAGTATGTGTGTATATGTGTGTGGCTGGGCTGAGGGGAGGGTAATGGGAGGATGAGGAGATGGTAGAAAGCTGGGCTCACTGCCTGCAGTGTTCTCTGCAGGGCAGGGAACCCTTGGAAGTCCTGCTGTAAAGAGCTCTCAGCAGCTGTATTTCATCCTCAGTCTCAACCCTGTCAATCACATTTTTTAGTATTTTCACTATGCAATGTTTTTTTTTTATGTTCTATTTGTGCTTCTTTAGTGTCTCTGCTGAAAGATTGGAAAACTTTGGCTGAATTTGGGTATGGGTCTGCCATCAGTTACGTAGAAGCAGCCTCACATTAAAGAAAAAAGGGTTATTATAAGTGAAGAGCTTGTAATAATGTTACATGTTGATGAGCAGTAATTATCAGAGCTGGGAGAGTTTTAGGACTAAGCCTCCATGTTACACCTCTCCTTCCCGAATTCCCAGTCAAGTGGGAGCTCGTGTTATTTTTAGCAGTAGCTACTTTTGCCACTGAGCCTTAATGGACTGTAATCACACTTAAAGTAATTGATACTTTTTAATCTCATATGCTGCTGTTGTCAATATCCTTTTTATTTTTAAATTAGTGAGAAACTTGAATCATCTTCCCACTATCAGTTCCACTTCTAACTTCCTGACTAGTCCCAGAGAAATCATGGTCTTGCTGCTGCTTCTGCTCTGTTTGCCTGTGTTTGCCTTGTTGCTGATCTCACTGCTCACAGGCAGTCCTGCTCCAGCTCAGTGATGAATGCCAGTCACGATAGCATAACAAGCCAAAGGTAGTAAACTTGCTTTGAAAAGCTTGCAGACTTGGAAGTGCTTAGGTGCTAGGGTTTTAAACTCATTGAAACTTTACTAGTGACACCCGGGGGGGGGGGGGGCATCTTTTAATAGTAAACACACTGAAACAGATTTGAGCTAAAAAAGTTGGATTTGCTTTGTTTTGGTTGTGTGTAAACCACAGCATTATCAGGAGATGATTTAGAGCAACAACCGTGAACTCCTTGCTTGGACGATGTTGAACTGAAGGTTCTTCACGGCTGAAAATGTTTTTCCAGCTTTATGGGAGCTTTCCCCCTCCCACCCCCTGTGGCACTTAGCAGTTTAAAAAGAGCTGTGTTAAACAGTATTTGAGCTTACTGAATAATCAAATATGATTAATTTTTTTTAAAATAATGATTTCTTCTCCGGTTTTGGAACAACACATGTGCCAGTATGCTATTCTTTTCTCTGGTAGTTCTTACATGGAATGTATTTTTCCCTGAGAAAATGGAATCTTTGTGTCTTTGTCTCCTCGCTAGCTTTCAGGCATGTTTTGGCAGGAGCTCTGACTGTCGAGGCACTGGAGAGGAGGGGCCTTGCACTCATTTGTCAGCTTTTCTTGCATCTGTAATTTTCGTCCACTCAGCAGTACTGGAGGGGTGTAAAAAAGGGGGAGAGCTCGTAGCTGTTGAAAGTCAAACTCTTGAAATATTTGCTGGACTGCAACAGTCTGGGAAAGGTGTGTTGGGGGGGAGGGCAGAGCGGGCTACAAATGTTTAGGCTAAAACCAGGTTTAGGTTTAAGGTTTTAGCAACTCTCTGTTTCAAGTAATTGCATGCCTTTTCCCCATATATCTGTACGGGAATGGTACTGTGTTTATAGACTGGTTTATTGTGTGTTGATAAACTAGTTTTTTTTTTTTTTTAATGGCGGTGAAAATATTTCACTGCTGTTCAAGAGCTTTTTGTTTCCAGCCAACAGCTTAAAACATTTAAAGTCTCTAACTCATGTCCTAATCCTCTGCTGCAATCTTCCTTTGCAGACTGTGTGCTTTCATCTCCTTGTGAAATGTAACCAAACAGAAGTTAGTTGGGGTTTTTTTTATTAGACGACATATCCCTTCATACTAAAGAAAGCATTTTTCCTCTTCAGCTTTTTATGGAATATTAACATTGATCTCTCTTCCTCGTTTTAGTAGGCTGTTTAAGCTCAGGGCTCATACTGTGAGCTGTTAATTAATCAGTGTGACAGATGAAGAAAGTATCCAACTATGAAAGAAAACCTTACTTTAGTGGCTAACAAGATGTGAGGCCAAGTGATTTAAAGATTTATTTTTTCTGCATGATAAGGAGTCTTAAGCTGTTTGAGGTAACGTGGGGTTTTTGCTCAGTTTGTGTCTCTGCACAAACATTAAAGGGCTCATCAATATTTTGTCTTGAGAAGTCTAGACAGGAGTTAAAAGAGCCTCTCCTACAGTTTGAAGAGATCCTGTTTCCCATTATTAAAAACAGGAAGCACGTAAATAAGGCTTTACTGACAAATGAAACTGCAACAGTAACATGTACAGAGAAACATTAGCTCCTAGCTGAGAAATGTAGCTGAGGTCTGTTGGTTTTAGTGTACAGGAAGATTGCTGTGAAAGTGCATTAGAGCTTTGCTCAAGTCTAATTCAGT